GTAAGCGGACGCGGCTGCGAGGGGGATTTTTGACAAGTTTTATTGTCGCAGGGATGAGCATCCTAGGTGGTGATCGTTGTTTGCAAAGTTGGGCAGGACTGCCGCACCTTCTTGGGTGCCATGAAATATTTATCATTTGCCAATCCGAGGATGTTATTGTTGCCTTCTTTTTTAAAAATGTGCTCCCAGGGTACAAAAATAGGTAGTTTCAGAGCTTTAGAGTGTGGATCCTAGAGCGAAAGTTTGCAATCACGTAAAGTTGGGAGGTGATAAGATGAGAAGGAAAAAAAGATTTTGGGAAAATTCTTGTTCCTTCCAAATGACTGTTAGAAAGGAAAAGCAGATATGAGGAGCAGAATTGAGAAAGCTGAGTTAGGCTGAGACGAAATTTGGGTAAGTTTCTCCCTAGACTGAGGTTTTATGATACCTAGTCTTAACAAGTCGGAAGCTTAAATGAAATAGATTTAGTGGGAAATTTCTGAAAGGTTAAAATAGAGCAAAGATGTAGAACTTAGACATCTAATTAAAAAGTAGGTTATATAAGCTTGTTTTTTAAAACTAAAAAGAGGAAGAAAAAAACAGAATAGTCATTCATGCATATAACAGTATTGTAAGTTATTTGTGTTGTGTGGCTTCTTTCCTCAAATTTTCCCCCTTCCAACAGAAACGCTTTATTTAAGGGAAAAAAAAAAAAATGTGTCTGGTATTTTGTGCATAACCCCAGCAGAAGGTTTATACTTGCCATCTGGAGGTTTATTTTTTTTTTCCTTCGGCTGGGCCCTCTGAAGGAAAAGGATTTCAATATTTTGAAATCGGTACGTGGGGCTCTCTGGAAGAGCTGTTGGGCGATAGAGGAGCAAAATTTATTATTTTAAAATAGGAAAGAGAATGGGGAAAAAGCAAAAAGCAGCCATTTAGAAACTGCTCTCTTTGTGTACTTTGAACTTCCATTTGGATTGATCTGAATCAGAGTGTGATAGTTGGGCCAAAAGGGACCGATCAGAGCTTTCAGGAAGGCCCAGTTCAGCTGTAGCGATTGGCGCAAACGAATTCAACGTGTGTGTGTGGCGGTATATGCAGGAGTGTGTACATGTGCCGATGTGTGCGTAGCGGTTAGTCCTAGCTGAGTGTATACTGGAATGCACACAAGTATTCGAGGGTATAATATGGTTTGGGGAGATTAATAATTCAAGAAACCAATTTTGTGAATGGGCAACTGCTGAAATAAAATCCTGGACTTTTATTTTGAAAGTGCAAGTAGATCATCAAAAGTTCATAAAACTATCCTGTTTTTACCTTTTTTGAAAAAGAGAACATAGGGTGTAATTAGAAGAATAGTTAAGTGTGGTAAGGAAAATATAATTTTAAAACAAATGTATTATGTCGTGAGCTGGTCAAATGAAGTGGTTAAATTTGTAAACATAAATATTAGGATTATGTAATTTGCAGTTGGTAGTTACTCATATGTAGTTCTTAAGACTTTTGCCTAAGAACTTATCTTTTTGACATTCCATACAAAACATAGTCAATACCTTTAATTTTAAAACACTTTCAATGAAAATTTTGTGAGTGATGCTATCATAGTAAGAAAAAGTGTCTCAGAAGCAATAAAATAGATTCAGGGATTATAAGACCCTTGTGTATTATAAGAAAATTACTATATATAAATTTCCATGCTTTTTAATCTTTAGGAATTACCAGTGATGTGATTTTTATATGCTAATTGTTGATGTTGCATCTTAAATTCTGAACTCACAAAATTTTAGTTTAAGTTTTGGACATTTTAACTCCCTTTTAGCCAAAAGGAATTTATAAAATATGTGTTCCATTCCCACAGCTTGCCAGTTGCCTCTACCATAAGAAAATGCTGAATATGACATCATATCACTAATATGCCCTCTCAGTTGCCAAATATTTTGGTTGTTAGATTTTTTTTTTTTTTTTTGAGAGGATGGTACTCATAAAATCAAGATCGCTCTGTCACAGGAAATGTATTTATAGGAACTGTTTTAAGGCGTTTATTAAAAACAAATCTGGTGATGTGTATCTCTATTGATTCAAACATTAGAAAGAGGCAAATTGTACATACATTATCGTTAGAAAAAATAGCCATTTGGAACATGAGCAGAAAGCTTTTGAAATCACGGATGCTCACGAGTTCTTCATTGCAGTTTTCTGAAACAGACTGCAAAGTCCAGTTGTACGTGTTCCTTGGATGAGGCCAGTTCTATACCATTTTTTAAAATGCCTTCGTGCATACACTGGAGAAGCAGATTTTTGTTTATTCTACAGTGTGTATTGTACTGGCTCTAATTTTGCATTCAGAGGCTTTTGATTTGGTGCCAGACATCTTGTGGAGATTGTGTATGCCATGCGTTAATTGTTCAAAATGCCTATCGAAGGGACTGTACATTTTCTGAGTCTCATTTGTCGTTTTGGGTTTGAGCATCTCTGCATTTCTGTGTGTATGTGCGCTTCTGACCAATGTGTGTTTTAACCTAAATTGTTGGAGTTAAGTGTGATCAGCTATTTGTTCCACAAGCTTTCCTCTGAAGACAACACAGTGCTGAATTCCTCCTTTTTTCCCAGTGACAAGTCAATTACTTGTTTAAATTCAGTTTGAACTGTCTGAACTGAGAGAGGCCAGAGGAAGCAGGTTTTCCCTGGGAATAAACAAAAGAAGGAAAATGTAAAATCATTTCAAAACACTGAGATTTCAGGTTGTGGGAAGAGTACAATTAAGCATCACAACAATTATGATTTCTCCCCTTTGAACTGGCAGCTATAGGGTTTATAAAATCGGTTTTCCTCTAACTTTTTAGCAAGAGAAATAGTATAATCAATGATATTTTATGACAAAGGAAAATGTGAATTTTCTGTTACCTTAAATTATGAAATGTTTCCATGGCCATATCCCACAACAAATTGCTTTCTTCTTTCTGTGAAATACTGGACCTGTCCTGAGGTATGGACTTCATGAAGCCAAAACCTGCAAAAATCATAACACTAGAGCTGTCAAAGACTAAATATTGAATATAAAACAGAATGTACTTTTAAAAATCGGCTTTTTTCTCAGGTGAGAGTTTATGAACTTGACCAAATAAATCTTGTGATTTCTTCCCTCTGTGGATTAAAGGTTTAAATACAAATGAATCCCATTCTCATATAAATAAAAAATTTGAAAGCATTACCTCTTAACTAAGAGAGAGAGGTCTTTTTGCAGAGAAAATCAGTACAATTTCTTTTAAATGTTAGGAGTATGAGCTTCTGTGCTGCTGTGTCTGCCCTCATTCAGGCTGTAAACAGTATCAGGCATTCCTGGTCCACAGTAAGTATAGCTCTAGCTCTAAATTTTGATTTTTATAACTACTTACATCATCTTATTCACTGAATAAGAATTTTAATAAGTAATTATTTGGTTAAATTTCACATATCTAAAAATAAAGCAGTTGCACAAAGATAAAATTATGGCAAATGAAATTGAAAACAAAAGTGGCGAAATTTCCTCCTAATGGTAATTTAAGATCACATCATCAGCTCTCGCCAGCATGTGCATGTGTTAAACCGTATAGAGAAACCTGTAATTATTGTAATTGCTCTTTTTGCTTTATACTAACAAGCTTCAAACCATGTTTCAAACTAGTTGTTTTGAAATAGTTATTTGTCAAGTCATCAAATCTCAGAAAGTAAATGGTAATGAGCTTTCCATGTTTATATTCTGACTATTGGTCATATTATGCAGCTTTTCAACTCCATAAAGTTTAGAGATGGAAATGGATGTTTATTATTTCTGATATTGGGGTCAAAAATAAAACATTTTCATGATTCCTGCTTAAGATGAAAAAAATAAGAACATTTTAATATCAAAACCTCTCAGTTGGGGATCTTCCTTAGAAAAAAGTTTTCCTATGAATAAGTGGCAATTTCAGCCGCCACCTGAATTTTTAAAAGCTAAAAATTAGGGTATGAGGTGTTTAGCCTTTTTTTTTTTTTCATATACCACAGGAAGTGCTAACATAAAAAGCTTAATATTTAAATAATACCACTAATAATATTTTCCGCTACATTCTTTGCAAACCTCACAGTTGGTTCTGGGAGCCTGAGGCAGGTAGCCATGGGTTTTAAAGTTTCAATAGTATATCAACTATGCAAATTGCATTTAGTATTTCTAAAGATATTTCATAGACTTGCTATTTTCAGAACCCTGATTATAAATGAAAATAGGTATAAATGCATTACTTTTAAAAATTATTCTTTAGCTGCTATACCAGACAAAAATTTGCTTAGGTCACAAACTAATATAATTTTTCAGTTCCCCACTGACTCAAGGAAACAAAACATGTCAAAGAAAAAACATGCAGGAAAAACTTCTTGAAGTGAGCTTACTTTTTTGGTATTGTTGACATATAAAGCATTTTAACCTACTCATTTTAAAATAACAATGAAAAATTTATTTTCCACCCCCTCTGTGCTTGATTGCTTAAAACAAAATTATGTTGATTTTATTCTTTAGGTTAAAGCTGGTTAAAATTCACCAGATGCTTTATCTTGATATTGTGGCTACATCTTGCTCTCCTGCCTCTGATTAAATTTCCCAAATCCCTGCATGAGATTCACAGATGCCAGTTTGAACATTTCTCTGAGGCTAATTTCTTAGGGAGAAAATATGGATCGGTTACATATTTGGTTAATTTTACTTAATCCCTAATTTCTGGTATGTCTGAACATTTTGAATATAGTGTTGATAATTGATAAGCATCCATATAACACTAGGCGATGGCATTGTTTCAAGAATTAGGAAGAAGGACTTTGGAACGTGGGAAAGAGGGTTGGGAAGAAAAGTGGCCAGGAAAAGAGGTCTAATAGCTGGTGGAGCCTTTAAATACCTTTCCAAATGATCCACAGGAAACTGTGCTGAGGAATTGTTTGTTTCCTCTCCCACTATAAATGTGGTTTGCATTACACTCCCTATTTGTTTTTGTTTTCATGAAAATTTTAGT